GAGAGAGAGAGAGAGAGAGAGAGATTGCAGACTACAACAAGCACGCAGGTAAGCGTTGCATGTAAGCACGGAGTAACCTTCCAGCATTCATTAAGCGTCTTCGCGGATGCAGTGGTGAGTGTGGTCGAGGTCTTACCGCTCAAATAGATGCAACGATATTCATGTTTACAGGGGCCGGGATATATGGTAAGCTTGACTTTCGAAGCCTTGCGCCACAGCAAAATGTCTGTAGAGTGTCAACATCTGGTGTTCCTTCCCGAGATGGCCCCTCTTGTTGGGGGGAGTATGTTTCTATGTTCTGGAATCTAAGGATTTGCTGTCCAAACCGTAAGCACGGGTCTACCTCCTGTCTGCAAGTGTTTCTATTTTCAAAATCTGTAGAAGCCGTTGATAACTCTTGCCATACCCGGCAATGATTTTGAGAGCCCGCTTCTGTACTCGCTCAATTTGTTGGACTCTGTGGTCGGTGGGCCCGGGATGAAAAACAGACACATAGTATTCAAGCAGTGGTCGAACATATGTGATGTAAATTTTTACCATTTCATCTTGTGGCAGGCGGAATTTCTTCATAATGTAAAGCATATATAAAACCTTCGAGCCCCTCTTAACAATTGGGCACATAAATACCCCCTCTTAACATGCAAACATAATCAGATGTATAATCCATCCATCCATCCGTTCATCCATCCACCCATCCATCCATAGAGGCACGCACGCACGCACTTACGCACTTACGCACTTACGCACACATGCATACATGCACACACACACACCACACACACACACACACACACACACACACACACACACACACACACACACACACACACACACACACACACACACACCACACACACACACACACCACACACACCCACACACACACGCACACACACACACACACACACACACACACACACACACACACACACACACACACACACACACACACACACACACACACACACACACACACACACACACACACACACACACATGCATGCATACATGCACACATGCGTGCACGCATACTTCCATACATGCATGTTTGCATACATACACAATTATATGCATGCATTTATCCAACAATCTGTATATATGGTACGCATGCGTGCATGTATGTGCGTACATGTTTGTACACATGCATGCATGCGTACCTACCGTAACGTCAGGGCTGGTTCATAAAGGAAAGCCGATGAAAACTTTTTTTCTGTCACATGTGAAAACAAAAGAAAGCGACAAAGTGATGATTTTACTTGAACTATTGAGCACAAATGTGTTGGCGCCGGCGTAATCACGTTTATTCATTGCCTTCTTGTACTTCATCACAAAATGCAATCAATCATTGTTTACGTGCCAACGCACACACACACAAATGCATTTCCAATTCAGAAAAGTACGATTCCAGATTGAAATGACATCGCCGAAATTTGATATGTGAGCGCACACAAACTCCTTAAAATTTTCTGTGTGATTCCGAGCCTTGGCTGTACCGCAGCTAAAGCATCCACAAGGCCACGTGACACACCCAAGGGTGTAGATTTATTCCGATTCAGACGTGAAACACAGGTTTCAGTGGCAGCTGTGTGATCTCTGTTTGCAGATCTATTGAATGAGGATCAATAAAAAGACTGGCAACTTCTGTAGGAGTACCCACCCTAAGCAACAGAAGGGGACGACACCAGTACCGGGTGACTAGAGTACAGTGAACAGTATGACAACATCATAACAACAGCATTACTCGGCCGTTTGTGTACGATGAAGTTGCATTACTATGCCTGGTTATATTACCAAGTTACATTACACATTACTCTCGCGTGCTCCGCGCACACAAATCACTAAAATGGAATGGCAAAGCTTCAGGCGGCAAATTTGCCGTTTGTGCGCTTATAAACGGGTGAAAAACGGATATTATTAATGTTATTGTGGTGTTGCGGTAAGTGGGCTAGGTCAAGCGAAGCGGATGTTCGAGGATAATGGACAAGGTGACTGTAGGTAAGGGAAAAGTCCGATACCTCGTATACTGTTTGCGACCAAGCGAACACACATTACATGCCCCACCTCGCGTGGGCCTACCGAAAGCAGATCTGTGCAGCAAGGGCATGTGCGCAACGCCGCCAAAAGTTGGCAGTACTGTCAAATAACTGGTCCCGCTGTCGGGGATTATCTAAATGCTTCGCGGTGTTGCAGGTCGATAGCTCGTCGCGTAAAAGTTTTTATCTGCACGGCGCAGGCAGGCCGGTCGGTGTCACCTTGCCTCAGTAATATAGCTCAAGGGCTATCGCATCTTCCCCTTCCCCTCTCCTCTGTACGTATTGGGACTCCTGGGACCGGAGGCTTCAGCACTTCTGAAAGTTTAAGATGCCTTTACGGTTCCCAGAACATAAAAATGGACCACAATGCATCTTGGCAGATCCGGAACCTAAAGCGTCCCCCGAATCCCAGAACAGCCCCTTAAGCGACAAGAGTCCCTTGTTTAGGACATCCTATGATCTTATTTGCATTCCGGGCCAAAGTCCTGGATGCGCTACTGCTTCCCCTTCACAACCAGGCACCACCCAGCGGGCGAATATCACGTGGAGTTGTTCGTGCGTCGAGCAAAACACGACGGCGTGCTTTACGATGTATATGGTGGCAACACGAAGGCAGAACAGAATCTGAACAATGTGGAATGTGTCATATCACTGCGAGTGTCTGTGCCGTCCAGCTTCGGCAGGCGAACTGATATTGAACCTCAATTGCATAGCCTCTGCACAAGCTCGAGCTGCATCATTAGAAACCCCCAAGAGATGACGCCAATGCGTGCACATAGCATGAAACGCGTCAACTCAGACAGAGTTCGGACGAACTTTCACTTTAACAGCAAAAAACGTCGAATCGGACGGACGCAACGTTGCAAACATGACGTGCACAACCGTAATACACTGGACTACCATGGGCGAAAAGGAAGAGTACGCCTGCGAGATGAGACCCGACTACCATTACCCAGCCAGCGTTCCTTTTGCCTTCATCTACCGCACCGTCAGCGAACCACCGTCCGTGCCACCAGACTCCTACTGAAGAAGGGTCCCGTCTCCTAGTCTAGCGGGCTGGGCGGCGCGTGCTCTGTCGCCGGCTGCCAGCCATGCTTCGCCTCTACCGGGCGTGCGGCCTGGAGCGTGCGACTAGGGCGCCGCCTAGCACGGGCGAGCGTCGCGCAGCATCAGCGCCAGCTTGTAGCCCAGCTCCGGCCGGCGGTCGCGGCCCTGCACCATCGACTTCACCTGAAACACGCGCGCACGCGACAGGCGCGGCGTCACCGGCGATCCGCTGCCGGCGCTCGAGCCATCACCGCCGTCGCCACTCGCGAACGCCGGTGATCATGTCACAGCGGCAATCATATCGTAGTGAACGGGACTGTGGACATTGGCGCCGGCGCTGACCTACGTCATCGTATCCACCGTGACGGAGCGGTTGCCTGCCCTTTTTCACCACTCACAACCTCATCATGAACCTCTGTAAGGGCGCGCTGAGCTGGGATGAGTTGCATGCATCAGCTATGTGCCTACTTTAGTGCCCCCGCCCTAGCACCCGCACGAACTTCGAAGACCGGTCCCTGTGTGGGATACGTCTCGGCGACGGAAGACCCCAGATGCACACAGCCTTGCCCCAAATATTTTCAGTTTTCCCCATCCCACAGCACTAAAATAGCCACTGCTGGCTGACGGGCCATGATTCCAACAAAACAAAAACGGACTACCCAGACGCTGGTAACACCGTGCTCGTGGGAGTGGTCTGCGCTTGGACAGATGAAAAAGTTGGCTTTTAGCTGGAGCAAAAGTTAACGGATGGTTTTAGGTCGACTGACTGAGAGCAAACATAGACACTCCGTTTGATGTTTTAATTTTGGAAGCAAGATCCTCTATCTCGTGATAGCTTTGTTGGCCGCATGCATCTGCGACCACAAGCAACTTAAGTCGTGGTGGCTGATTTAATTGATAAAATTAATCAAACACAGGTGGCAAAATACCGGCTGCCATTTTCTGATCATTGCATGCAGCACGACGAAGAACGGAGTCCGAAGGTTCTATAGCGATAAGTACCGATCCAGACATTCAAACAGATTATCACGGAGTGCAAACTTCTGAACCTTTTGAAGTAATTTGGCCGAAAGCTCTGCGCGGACCGCTGAACTGACGCTGCTCTGCACGACCACGTTCATAACTGCATCTCCAAGTGCTCTGCCGACCTGTGACGTGGCGACGATGACTCCACTGTTTCTCATGATGTCCTGCTTGAGGGTCTCGATGTCCTCGGCGCTGACCCCCCGGCACGCGTCGTCCATAATGATGGTTCGGAAGCCCTCCTCCAGAGAATGAATGGCGGTGGCTCCTGGGGCAGACCGACACCGCTTCAGTCGGGAGAAACCCCTAGCCTAGCCGATGCTTCTGCCCCGTGTATCCTAGCTACGCGCTTCTGCTCCGTGTGTTGTAGCCGCGTGCTTCTGCTCCGTGTGTCCTAGCCGCGTGTTTCTGCTCCGTATGTTCTAACCGCGGTTTCTGCCCCGTATGTTCTAGCCGCGTGCTCCTACTTCCGTGTGTCCTAGCCGCGTACTTCTGCTCCGTGTGCCCCAGCCGCGTGCTTCTGGGCCGTGTGTCCTAGCCGCGTATTTCTGCTCCGAGTGTCCTAACCGCGGCTTCTGCTCCGTATGTTCTAGCCGCAAGTTTCTGCTCTGTGTGTCCTAGCTGCGTGCTTCCGCTCCGTGTGTTCTAGCCGCGTGCTTCTGCTCCGTGTGTCCTAGCCGCGTGTTTCTGCTCCGAGTGTCCTAAACGCGGCTTCTGCTCCGTATGTTCTAGCCGCAAGTTTCTGCTCCGTGTGTTCTAGCCGCGTGCTTCTGCTCCGTGTGTCCTAGCTGTGTGTTTCTGCTCCGTGTGTCCTAGCCGCGGCTTCTGCTCCGTGTGTCCTAGCCGCGGCTTCTGCTCCGTGTGTCCTAGCCGCGTGCCTTCAGCTTCTGTGCCTAGCCCACGGCAAGGCAAACAAAAAGGAAATGATTTGCCATGACCGTATGCAAAATATGGCACAACGCATCTTGGCTATACCTCGATTGCAGCTACGAAGCTTAAATAACTTACACATACCAATGAAATCTTAACATCACTAAGTCACTTGCGATAATTTCACGCTGGACACGACAGCTCCAAACCTTCTAACTCCACTCGACACGTGCCAGCACTCATAGACCTATTCCCTGGCTCTGTGATGTGTCGAATCCGCTGTCGACGACACTCCCTCTGACACGGTCCGAGTAGCAACCAATCGACTCACCCACGCAGACGTCTGTGGCGATGCCGCAGACGAAGACGTCGGTGACCCCACGCTGTCTCAGCTGTCGACTCAGACCCGTGTCCGAGATCTTGGCGTTGTCGAAGAACGCTGAGTACGAGTCAATCTCGGGGTCGTAGCCCTTCTTGATCCAAAGGGCGTTGTCCACGATCTGCAAGTTTACCAGACGACGGGGTTCGGATGCTCTGATGTCTGTTTTAAGCCACATCGGAAACATCGAAATGTGCTTAGTCTCGGAGTTTGAATCGAACTCTTCGCGTAAATGATGTTCAACCCAATGGACAATACATACATAGCTGAGCACAAAATGCCTGCACACTTAGCATTGCACGCTTAGGAACTTTCAGTGCACAATCATGTTTTTAGCAAATATGAACGTTTGCGCTCTGACGCGCCTGATATGGACCTACCTTAAGGTCGGGGTGCAGCTCGGCCCCCCACGAGTCCTGGATGCAGTGAGGCGGCCACAGGATCTGCTCCTTGACCGGATCGCCATCATAGACCACTTTGTCGTACAACTTGGCATCCGCCGCCTTCACCTGTGTGTGTGTGTGAAGGAGGGAGGGGGGGGGGGGCAGTGAAGGGGAATCCTTAACAGATCTGGCGCTAGCGCCGTTTCTAGCACGTTTTTGCGCGAGGCGGTGGGTAAACGTTGTTTTTTCCAGAGTTGTGACAGGGTCAATAACTCCGAGTTGCCCTCTCCTCGCTTCCACTGTCACTGTTCACTGGGCCGCACGATCAGCACCGCCTGGATCAGAGTGAGCACGGTGGTACTTGCTTTGGACTGCAAGACATCTGAATTTACCCGGATATTTTTTTGTGGGGGGAAGGGGGCGGCGGAGTACATAGTCCTAATGTCAGCACCAACAGCCGAAACAACCTTGCCTGCGGAGGCTGAGCCCCGGCGTGCCCGGGCGGACGATATCTGTACGCAACCGGAGTAGGAGGTCTCCAACTTTAAGTGGTTGCGCATAAATTCCAGGGAAGACGCGAAACCTTGCGTGCTACTCCAAACTGAGCCATGATCTTTTTGTGGTAACTTGGGAATATCTGTCGTGACAGCGAAGGTGGTTCGCGGCCCTCGACAGATGGCAGCCTGCGGCACATTATTTTGTATTATTCTGTGCGTTTGACGTGCGAATCGTGCACCATAGATATCGATGTGCGTCAATATGAAATAGGTTTAGCTTTAAGCTTCGTTTGAACACAGAAAGGATAAAAAAGAGCAGGTCATAGTCACAGCAGCATGGAAAGGACATCAGCCACACTCCAAGCTGCTTAACATATCTGAGGATGGTCTACAAGGCACGGAGAAAGCGCTCTTAATGAATACTTTGACAAGACTTGCATCCATGTTGCCTTGAACTACAAAACTTTATTTATTTATTCCAATCTAGACCTTCAGTCTAAATTTTGTGCCTGGACGGTTTTCTGGGTTCAGTGCCAACGCTTAACAGTGTTTGTTTGGTGAGCGCTGGCCCCCACCATCAGACCGCAATTTTCCTCGTCAACGACAGAGTTCAGCGACGAAAAACGCCTTGCCACAACGCTCGACACCACGCGTTCTGCCCTCTGACGTCACCTGACCTTTAGCAAGGTCTCTGCCACTAGCCGCAGGTCATCCCAACCGGAACAAATAGCGAGCACCTAAAGCCACTCCAACCCACCTCGCCACGGGCGAATGCATTGGCGGGCAGACGTTTCAGCCAAATGACCTATGAAAACACATACTTGTAGGACACATGAGGAAAGTCTGGGGATATCTCGTGAAAGCCTTCGACAAGCGCAGGCATACGCCCATCTATAGGCTGAGGAAGCCAAACGGCACATATACCAGGGGTTATCAAAAACGAGGGAGTGCAAAAACCTCCAGCTCTGACGACATCCGCGGACTAACACCCCGAACAATAGCGCCAGCGGACTAACGAGGGAGCGCAAAAACCTCCAGCTCTGACGACACCCGCGGACTAACACCCCGAACAATAGCGCCGGCGGACTAACGAGCCGGTCGTTATCGTCGAGTGTGGACCCCACACGAGTGCTGCCGGTAAGCCAGCCGGCTACCGATGAACAAGAGCCGGCGTCACCGCCGTCACGCGACGGTCCGGAGACAAAGCCGGCTCACGAGAGCGTCGGCCAACCGTGACGACTGGCGTGGTGGGGGGAGGGGGGGGGGGGTGAGAGGGGGGGGGGGGGGGCTCACCTTCGACGACGGATGCATCGGGTACTTGGCGACGTTTGTGACGAAGGAGAGGTGGTTGTTCGGGTGCCAGTCCATCGAGTAGGCCACGACGTCGAACTTGATGGTGTCCAAAGCCTCGTTGATGACTGGGACAACCTGTGGTTGGATATGGTGTTAACGCAAGTGACGTCAGTGTGCTGCGGTTACCGTCAGTGTCATGTAGTGTCAACACGGGTAATGTCAACGTGGTGCGGGTACCGTCAGTGTGATGTGGTGTTAACGAGGGTAATGTCAACCTGGTGCGAGTACCATCAGTGTGATGTGGTGTCAACGAGGGTAATGTCAAGGTGGTGCGGGTACCGCCGGGGTCATGTGGTGTCAACACGAGTGACATCAATTTGGCGCGGGTACCGTCAGTGTGATGTGGTGTCAACGCGGGTAGCGTGTCAACATGGTGCGGGTAACGTCCGTGTGGTGTGGTGTCAACACCAGTGACAGCAATGTGGTATGGGTACCGTCAGTGTAATGTGGTGTCAACACGAGTGACATCAGTGTGGTGTGGGTATCGTCAGTGTGATGTGGTGTCAACGAGGGTAATGTCAACGTGGTGCGGGTACCGTCAGTGTGATGTGGTGTCAACACGAGTGACATCAGTGTGGTGTGGGTACCATCAGTGTGATGTGGTGTTAACGCGGGTACCGTCAACGTGGTGCGGGTACCGTCAGTGTGGCATCGTGTCAGCGCGGAACAAATAGGCACTCCGGTGATCGCAGAGCTACAGGTGCTGGGAACAGGCATATGTTGATTATGATGCTAATCGTAAACGCAGTGATCAAGTGTGGTGGCAATGATCACGAAGCATGACAACCAGAGCTTGATTTAGCAACTCAATGCAATTGGCCAAACAACGGATCGACAGGCGGGGATTGACGCCATTACCAGTAGTTAAATAACTATTTTCATTGTTTTGTTTCACCGTGGACTACTGCGTCAAACGCGTTTTGATCAACAGCCTAAACACACGCCACGCGTGCCGCTGCGCGATACGTGCCATGCTCATCGCGTAGGACCAGGGAAGCCTTGTGCCATAACAAATATCCCCAGAAATTGCTAGCGTGAGGGGCTTGTATATTTTAATCGAATCCACCGATTTGTCAGTGAGCCTCCGCGCCACGTGCTGATTTAATGCAGTGTTCTGATAGGTTTGTGGAAGCCCACTTGGGCTCATGGATGGAATCACGGAAATTGGCCAACACTTCGTTACCCAGAACGCTGTTGCCACAGCCCACTTTAGCCGGGCGAGAGCGTTATCTCTGACCTCTACAGTGGCTAATCTCTACATTCTCTTAAAGGGAATGTTTCACGATTAAAGATATCGAAGCAGGCATATCATTAGATAAAACAAGCTTACTTTTAACCATAAGTATATTCTTAAGTGGAAAAGACTGCTCAAGACAGCTCAATTTTCTGTTTAGTAAATTTGCTCCTCAATGCGTCATGGTTTGATTACGTCATGGTACCTGGCACAACGTTCATTGAGAGTCAATTAACGGCCATCATATCTGGAAATCCCGCTCATGAACGTTAGATATGAACGCTTCGACATTTATATTTTTGGCCCTGATCGCCGCATGGCTTGTGGAATGACAGGATCTGAATGACACTATTATGACGTCACGAATGCCAAGGTGACTGAAGTGTTCTCCTCGATATACCTTCCCACTTTCACGGGCGTATAACTCAAAAATTTAACGGGGCTTAGGTCTTCAGAAGGGCAGGATTGTGGACGGCACCCAAAGGTCTTCAGGATAGCTATTTCAGTTCAAAACCCGATGTAAGTGTGAAACACTTTCTTTATGTCACTTCGAAAACCGCTTTATTCCAGCGGTTCAAAATTACCAGCTCACAAGGCCCGCCTGATCAGCTCAGCCGGTAAGTACGGCAGAGGCGGGTGCGTCTGAGGCGCCCGCACCTGCCGGCGGCGGCGCCACGCGAGCCGGGCCGTCGCTCACGAGCCGCCGTCACGCGCAGCAGCGCCTCGGGCGACGTCGCCGCGACCTGGCAGCCTGCCAAAAGCTGTTTACCGGCCGCGCCGCTGCCTCAAAATAGAGCAGCGGAGGCGTCCGGCCGCTGGGGGACGAGCGCTAATGGGGCGAAGCAGCGTCCTAGACGCACAGCCAGCCCTGCGTGTCTATTGATGTCACTAACGGCTTTGTGGGGCCTCCTTGGAACGGCGCTGGTCACTCGCTGCCGGCTATTCATAGACGTGGATCAAAACAACGCTCTTTTGTGGCCGAGTCTAATCATTAGGGCGATTTGATTCACAACCACAATGAAAGGCTGGGATGTTGTTGTAGAGGCTGGTGCTACCTCTGTAAGAAAGTTTTGTATACCTGCTTCTGCCATTTATACACGTATGTTCACCATCCAGAGGCCGAACTTGAAATCAGGAAGGTATTGCATAGGTGGCGTAAAACATAATCTTAAACGTAGGCTCGAGCGTGTCTGTGGAGTAATTAACGTGCATATCGATCAGGAGCCTTCTGGATCGAACATATTCGGCAACCATTTGATCACAGTTCGGTGCAGTCTTCCGAACCAGGAACATTCATTCTCTGCAAGTTTTACCGTACAAGTCCGGGGATTTGTACACAATCTGTTTGTTGCGGCGTGACTTTCTTACAGTGGAAAACAAAGCTTTGCTCCGTGGAAGAAGCTGCACAAAACGGGTTAAACCATACCAGGTCTCGATGACCCGGCGTTGCTGCAACCCAAACCAACATCTAACGGAGCAGGAGACGGGCATTAGTGCGGGCAAAAATATACAGCCAGTTGCCCGCGCTCGAGTGCAAGCCATGGAGTTCACTGCTTGTTTTTGCGCTTTCATCGATTTGTGTCGATGTTGGTAGACGGCGCAAAGAGGGACTGAAAACCAGCTGCTTGTCTTGCGCGAATGTGGCGTCCGCGAATCACGCAGCAATACCGCTGTATGGGAGCACCGCTGTCCGGTGGAAAGATGTGCTATTTATCGACATGGGACCGCCCATGACACTTTTTTCGAAACCGCTCACGCATGCTGCGCGCTCTAACCTAGGCCAAGATATATATTATATATACATATATATATATATATATGTATATATAATATGTATATATATAAATAATATATATAAATATATATATATATATATATATATATATATTTATACATTTTGCTGTATTGCATTTGCATTGCACTGCAATATTGAATTAGACCTACGTTAGCGAATAGGCCAATTCACTGTGAGCGATGTACATACAAAATACTTGTGTGCCGTGCAATATCTAAGTCACAGCTTCCAAAACTGTACATCGGTGCAAATTAATCGTTTTCGTCGACACGAATTGTCAAACTTGGCTAAACCCGAGGCAATAAACGCGCTACGGGAGCGGGGTGTGGTTATGGTTTTTGCCGGACACAACTGACAGCCCGCACATAGCCAAGTAATATGATTTGTGGACTGGTTCGTCGATCTTAACAGGCATAGAACATACGCCCGCCGCACTCTCACGAAGGGTCATCTTCCCAGTGCTTTTATCAGAAACCTCGGCGAGTGTTCTCAAAAGCGACCGGCTCCACTACACTGAGTCCTCGCCTCATTCACGTTATGATGCTTGACGTCTCTCGTGTCTGCCACTACCTCAGTTCGCGGTTCGCGTAGCACCTTAGTCGTATGTTCAGCGCCGAACATGTTCAGCGGAAACGAACGGCAGCTCCTCCCTCCGAAGAAATCCCTTGCTCGCAAAACCAGCGGATCGGACAAATCTGCCGCGAACAGCCTCTGAAGCGGGACTGACGTCGGACGCGGTTACAGCAAACGTGTGCGAGCGCGTATGAATACAAACGGGGACGCATGAACATGGCGTGTCACCACGCGTTTATGCTGTGATGGATTTTTTGGTATTGGTCCGTGTCCGCGTGCGTTTACAGCACGCGTACGCACACGTTCAGCAAATTTGAACAAGGTTCACCTTTTGACGCGTCCAGACGCGTTTAGAAAGGACCAATCGGACTGCGCGGCGAATGCGGCACGGAACATTCAATAGCGGCGCGGTGATTTCGAAGCAGTGGTGCGGCCACGTTTGGTGTACTATTATTAGCTACCATGGGCATGCAATGTGGAACCTATTGCTAGCCGGCAATAGGGCAGGCCAATGTTTTATCTATTCATCTAGGACATTAAGCTAACTCCACCGGTGGGCCTCGTTGTCTGATAGAAATGATTAGATTTCGTCACGTGTTGTTGGGACCGAGAAGGAAAAGATCCAACAGCATCATCACGAGTGTGTATGTGTGGAATTGCAATAAGGAAGGCTAGAATGGTTGCATTTCAAAGGATTACAAAATTACTGAATTTGTCAGGTTGTGACAGCAGAAAGGAAACCGTGGCATAAAATCCGAAGCAGTATTAGTTGACACAAAGTTGATGCGGTGTACAAAAGAAAGGAAGGTCTTTGTATAAAAGCTATGATGCGCAGCGTGATCAGGTATAAATACAAGGTCAGTTGGGCCTTCAGGGTTCGCAGCATTCACAACGTTTGAGTCGGCGGAGCTGAGGCCGTTCAGTGATGCATACACAACGTGCTCGAAACGTTGTTTCAGCCGGCGTCCGCAAATCTTGTCGGGTCCGCTCCTTTCCACTTTCGTGCGTCTCGTGTTTTTTGTTTTACAAACTGCAAATTTTGAAATGACATATTAATCGGCTATCTGAGACAACAAATCATAACTCTGGATATTCGACATAATTTCCAAGAGGATAAGACACAGTTTCATAAGTTCTTCATCCTGACAGCTGTCAAACTTAATGTTGGGAGATTTGTGCACTCCATTTACAAGCAAAACACAAAACACAAACCACGAGCACAACTTGCAGCTTGCTACTGGAAAAATCTTTGTCTATTTTGACCACATAAAGCAGCCTCAACAGCAAAACATCACAGTGCGCAGGAACGTGCTGCGCCGCACTAAACGGCTTTACATACTTCGCAGCAGAGGTTACTCACGCCTCTAGCATAGTTCAGCACTTCGACATTGCAATGTTACACGAACGGCGGATAGGTTCCGTCTGTATCCCGTAGAGCGTCAACGTTGCACACTTGGGTCTCATGGCAAAGCG